TTCAATTATCTTCTTGACATTGAATTGATATCAATTACATTATTACTGACTACACATGTCTATTACTTACTCACAGAATTTTTTTCAAATGCCACATCCCAAGTAAATATGGGTGGTAACTAAAAGGTAATAACAAAAGTGTTGCCCCTTACAGCCTGGGGCAACTCAGTAGAAAAGGAGAAATTTTCCAAATACGTTGGAAATTGTCTTCATGAGAATTAAATGCACTATGTAATATGACACAAATATGGTTGTCAGTTACATTATTAATGAAACATATTTCGATTTTTTTGTACTTACAGAGGTTGTTGCCAGTTTTAGACAACTTGAAATGAACCAGGGAAACAACAGAGGCAATGTGCTGATTAATTCAACACTCTAACTTTATCCCTCCTCCCTTGGGCAGCTTTGGGCCAGCAACTTATAATGTTAGTTTGGATAATGTTGTATTTGATCAACTAATTATCCTTTCATTGATACTTTTCTTTAATCTCCTCAATCATTTTCATGACATTGAATACAATATCAATTACATTATCACTGACTACATATTTCTATTACATACTTTCTTTCAGAATTTGTTGCAAATGCTAGATCCTAAGTAGATATGCAACAGCTGGGTTAGGTATAGAACTTCACCATACTTTTAACAGTATACTTGTATTGAATGTCAATCAAATAAATCAAATCAAATGTTCCTGTGCATGAGAAATACCTGACTCACTTTGCAGCCATGTACACTGCTGGTACAGACCTTAACGACATGATTATCTATAACCTAAAGTGAACTTTTGGTACACTCAAATACTATTCAGGGTAGATTAACACCTTTATTAAGTATTGATCATTTTTTAAGACATTATAAATTGACATTACAAATTAATCCTTCAACCCCCAAGATCCTATAAGTAATTCTCTTTGCTTCTCCCATACAGTTCTTGTGATGTTAGTTTAGAGAATTTGGTATTGGATTAACTTATAATTCCTTTAAACTGATATTTTTCTATATTCTCATCACTTGTCTGCTTGATATTGTATTGATATTGTAAGGAGACACTCTGTCTTGGTCACTCATGGGAATTAAAAGGTTAAATGTAAAGAAAGTTTCCTCTAATTAGGCATATATTTGTCAACTACAGGTATTTAAGGTGAATCTTGAAATCCTAAAATCCAGTAATCACTTGTAAATAAAATCTTTCTAACTGCTGCATAATAATTCTGTCAATGGCATCTCTTTTACAAAATTAGACTGTCAAAGACTGCATGTGGCAAATGGTATAGCACAATTTTATAGCATTGAAAAGAACTTGAGGTTGTATAATGATGCTACTGAAGGTAGTTTTGAACAATATTTGTCTCGCATGCTAAACAGAAAACCAGCTGCACATATTTATGAGTACCCTGTTCTATAAGAGAAACATGATTCAAGAATATGTTGTCTAATTGACATTCAACCAATAATTAAACGGTAACAAATAATAATATGAACAAACAATGATAATGATAACGACAGTAATATAATAATAATAATTTATAGGGGCTAGCTTAAAAGCCTCATTGTTCCCCTACCATCTGGGCTTCAATAATGATTACCACCAATACTTCTTTTAATTTCTCCTGTTAGTATTATGAATAGGTCTCTTATTTTATTGCAACTCCACTTTTTGGGACTTTTGTGTCATACCAAAAGGTGTGTCCTAAGATATTCCGCCATTCCGCCGTTCCACCGTTCCACCGTTCCACCGTTCCACCGTTCCACCGTTCCACCGTTCCACCGTTCCACCGATCCTTTTCCCATTCCATCATTCTGTTGAATAACTAAAGGTTTTTAGCTTGCTCGCTTTGCAATAAATGGCTGATTCAGTGATTCAATTCATCAGTCTTAGGTTCTAGTTAAAAGGCTCTTTCTGCTCTTTCCCGTTCAACTCTTCTCAATTTGATGTTAAGCCTGTGTCTGCTTCAAATGTCAGGGTGTGTTTAGCTTCTTGTCAGGCCAGACATTTTCATACCGAATCTTTCTCAATAAAACTTGTGCGTTTAGCATAAATATAAGAAAACAAAGAAACGTCCTAACGCAGAATGAATCTACGTGTATTTCCTGAAGACAAAACATCTTTGTTTCGGTTGCCTTGATGGACGTGATGGTTTTTGTTCTCCGCCACTCTACACAGGAGGTCTCTATTCTTTCTCACACATCCCCGCCGTGGCCTCCGTAGAAGGTGCAACTCGTCGCTGATGCCGATGCAACTTTCTCTGTGGCCGCGTGTTGCGCTCAATCTTCTGGCTGTGATCCTTCTCCCCCACTTCGCCGGCGACTATGACTTCTTATCCTTGGTCCTCTAACGAGACCACTTTGAGTTCTATGTTTCGCGAGAGTTCCACGCCTCGTAAGGAGGCCACGCGTATTCAAAGTAAAATGGCCAACCAAGAGAGGAAGAGCGAGTCCTCCAGGACGGCAATGGCCATCGTGCTGGTTAAACTTTAAATTGGTGGAAGGGACATTACTAATCTTAGAAGTATGCAGGACGCGTGTTGTATGAAATTCGAAGATCTGAGCTTCGATTCCTCGTGGGGTATCAGAATTTTCTCTTTGACCCACGCTCGTGACAAGACGAAAAAAAAAAACTTTCTCACAAAAAAAGAAGATGTTATTTATTTCGTTATGAAAAGTAAAAAAAGAAATCGCATATTTCGCGCCCTGATGCTCTACCGCTCGGATACAGAGACCCTGATCTTTAATGGACAGGCTCATTCACTAGGTTTCATTTTATACTCCTTCTGCGTATTACTAGGACTAACAATAACGAAAGTGTTGTGTGAGTAAATTGGTCTACCACGAGGAAAGGAGCGCGGGTTTATTTCCCGCACAGCGGCTGGTTATCGAATCTACAGAGAGAGCCCCCCAAATTTTTCAAATACTTACAGCTAATCTGACCGTAAACAGATGACAAATCCTAACCTTAAAGAAACTGAAAAATATAATTCTCACACACATGCCTCGTGAGCATTCAAGAACGGTAGCCGCAAGAAAATCTCGTGACTATCGAAAGTGTTGTGTGAGTAAATCGATATCTACGAGGAAAGATTCGCGGGTTCATTTCCTGTAGAGCGGCTGGTTATCGAATCTACAGAGAAAAACCCTCAAAATATTTCAAATACACTCAGCTAATCTAACCGCGAACAACTGAAAAATCATAACCTTGAAGAAACCGAAAAATATACTTCTCCACCCACATGCTTCGTGAAAATTCATGAAAGATAGCCGCAAGACTATCTCGTGACTATCAAATTTCTTTGATAGGGTCAAGGCTAAGATGTTGCGTGAGTTTTAGTTCAGTTCCGGATCAAAAATTAACATTTTTGTAATTAAGGCACAAAACACTGCTTCTCGATGGCCTCCTGTCTTAGCGCTTTTACTCGGAAGAAATTAATCGATCCAAAGACTTTAATATCGACTCAACTCAACCGTTGTCTGTCGATTTTTGACCTGACACTTTTGGGTATAGGAAGTACCTTAGGAGCCGGTATATACGTGCTCGCCGGTGATGTCGCACGTAATGACGCCGGGCCCAGCATCGTTATTTCATTTTCAATCGCCGCCGTTGCGTCCATTCTTTCTGGCCTGTGCTATGGCGAGTTTGGAGCTCGGGTTCCTAAAGCTGGCTCGGCGTACGTCTACAGTTACGTGACGATAGGCGAGTTGTGTGCCTTTGTAATAGGATGGAACTTACTCTTAGAGTATGTCATTGGAACATCATCGGTCGCCCGAGCGTGGAGCGCATATTTTGATTCAATTTTTGACGACAGGATTCAGAACTTTACCCTTTCAAACATCGGAAAAATACACGTCACAGGCCTTGCAGAATACCCGGACTTATTATCTGTACTGATAATTCTAATATTAACCGGAGTATTACTCGTCGGTATAAAGAAAACCTCCTGGTTCAACACCTTGTTCACTGGAATCAATTTATTCATCATCATATTCATCGTGTGCGTTGGTATATATTATGCAGAGATGAAGAACTGGACAGATGACTTTGTTCCTTATGGAGGGTCCGGGATCCTCGCGGGAGCTGCCACCTGCTTCTATGCCTTCATTGGTTTTGATATTATCGCAACTGCCGGAGAGGAAGCAAGGAATCCTAGCAGAGGAATACCAATTTCTATCGTCTTAGCCCTGGGTAAGTTACCTCACTTTGTGAACCGAAGTGTTTGGATCTTCCTAAGCAAATTAGGATCATTTTTTTTCTTTTTTGGAAAAGATAGAAGAGGTTCAGCCGCTTCGGCATATTGCTTCGTTATTGACCCTCTCGACTTGAAGACGTCATCCCCTAAGGTATTTAGTGACACTTAACAAAATTCTGTGAACCTCACCATTACCTGGGGAAACTCAACGGAGTTGGCTTCGAGAAGGGGAGGGTTGGGTATGGGGATGGGTGGATGAATGCCCTTACGTTTTAGATTACTTTTCTTTATTTCTACAACAAAAGCCACACATGGGTCATTTATCAGGGAATTCACTTCTCATCAAAACAACGACCTCTGGTTGGAATAATCCTGACGTTGATTGACGTTGTTACAATTCGAGCAAAGTACAGAGTCAGTAGGATCATTTTGTAATCATGATGCAAACTCGTGAGAAAAATTTCAATTAAAAAATGTTTTGTAAATTCTTCCAAATATGGCGCAATTATCCCACAAATGACGCAAAAATTGCATCGGTGAACATGTGGAATTTCATAAAACAGCTGAGAAATGTCCAAAGGTTGAAAATGTAAATGCAAATAACGAACGTGCAAAGCAATTGTTCCTTTAATTAATCTTTTGTTTCACCACTATGTCGTTGCCACTGTCAGGACTTTTTTTCCTCTTTTTGTCAAAGCCTCCTGAGACTGTGAAATTGACTCAACGCAAGTCACTATCACCGACAAAGGTCCTTTCAAGGCTATCCTAAATTTTAGCGTCCATCACTCTCGGCTTAAAAATTCTATCACCGGTATTATTCAAATAAATTTCACTTTCTTTCTCACAGTGTTTTGTTTTCTGGCGTATTTCGGTGTGTCTGCCGTACTAACCCTAATGTGGCCCTACAAAGATCTTCCCGACGGAGGAACATTACCTAAGGTGTTCAAATTGAGAGGCGCACCCTGGGCCAAATATGTGATTGCTATCGGCGCCCTCTGTGGACTGACGTCATCTCTACTTGGGGCTCTGGTGCCAATACCTAGAATGCTGTATTCTATGGCGAGCGACGGCATAATTTTCAAGTAAGATATGGAATTAAGTAACAATTGACTTTGCTCTGGATATCTCAAGCCAAGGTCAAGTATTATGCTCCGTGTCTGTACATGATTTGATTTTTTTCCTCGAATCAGTTTGGCTAAACTCTTTGATTTTCAAAATATGAGTACTTCGCTGTAACGGTTGTTGATACACACATGCACGGTTGTATATACCGTAGCTTGCGTTGCTGGCGGTCTGAGGTTTTGGGGGGGTGGGGGGTGGGGGGTCTTGGGGTCTTTCATTTTTTTTCTCTCCGCCCCCAAAACCGCAGACCGCTAGCAACGCAAGCTAGGTTGCATATAACTGACCTTACCATGACATCTTTTTTTATTTTTATTATCATCATCATTATAATTATCGTTATTATTATTATTATTATTATTATTATTATTCTCATTATTAATCGCTTACAATGCGTATGCAGCGCAACAGTTACCAACAATTACTTACCACTCACTTACTACCTAACAAGAACTACTGAAGAATTCGGTAGTTACATTACAATTCCGTTTTGCTTTATTATATCAAATTTAGAATGGGTATAGAAAGCATTTCGGGACTGCTCAATTTAATTTTACTTAACTTTGATCTGTGATTGGTTCAGAAATCTCGCGCCATCCTCCCCACCAATTAGATGCATAACTAAAAACAATCGTGACTTGGTCATTCGCGTTTTCCCGCGCTTCAGGCAGTTTGCGTGTTTGCACTTTGAGTTCTCATTGGCTAATGATAATGTACACCCCTGTTCTGATTGGTCACTGGGATTACTTTGGTTTTGATTTCGACACTTAATTGAAAACTGATATAATATAGAAACTCCTGTAATTGCAATACTAATACGACTTTCTAAATCAATATTGATTGGTTTGTTTTTAGATTTTTGGCTAAAGTGAACCCAAGGACAGAGATACCAGTGATTGCAACAATAATATCCGGGGTGTTTTCTGCATTTTTGGCTCTAATCTTTGACCTGGACTCGCTGGTAGAAATGATGTCTATCGGCACACTCTTAGCTTATTCCATAGTGGCTCTGTGTGTTTTAATCTTGAGATACCAGCCAGAAAATATTGGACTGATCAAAGAATCGAGCAAGCAAGATGGTAGCTTGGCCACACCTCCTCACGGCCCAAGCGAAAGTTCTCCGCTACTGGGTAACAGAGGAGTCCAACAACCAACGCCAAGGACTGCTCAATTAGCGCTCTATGGTATCAGTGCTAGTACCCTCGCTTCCGTGGGCCTCAGCGCTGTGACAATCTATGGCTCACACGCCTTGTTACAAGCCAAATGGTGGGCAATCATTATTATTGTATTAATGGGCCTACTAATGGTTGGATCTACTATCCTACTCCTGTGGCTGCCCCAGAATAAGGTGTCCCTGGCATTCAAGGTCCCCTGTGTTCCTATGTTACCTCAATTGTCCGTTTTCATCAACTTGTTTCTCATTTTGAAGCTCTCTTACCTGACATGGCTCAGATTCGCTGTTTGGATGGTAATTGGTAAGTTACTGAGCAAACCAGTTTAAACGTAATAGCAGTTGGGGGAGGGGGGAGAAAGTATTTGAGCCTTTAGTGAGCGCATGCTCAACACCCCAGAGAGTATCTTTTAGCCACTGCCCTCTCAAACTAGACGAAGAACATGGTCAACTTTTATTCTGAGCGATTTCAACTCAACGAACTGCATCGCAAAATACGTTTTCAATTCGATTGCAAACATTTTTTCAAATGCGTTTTAGTGGTGTTTTCAATTACATTACTTGGTGAGATTTTCAAAATGCTTCTCACACTTGCATCTGATTGGCTGAGAGAATGGCACGAGTTTCCTGGACCAATCACAGGGCCATGCAAAGCAAAACCATTGCAGTCTCAGATTACTTTTAACTCTCAGTTGAAAAGTACTCTTACAAAGTGAATGTGTTCTGTTATTATCCAAGGAATGAGCATCTATCTGTTCTATGGAATCCGCCACAGTGTGGAGGGTGAAACACGCAGAGATGGAAAAACAGATGTCGTAGCCTGACCAACCAATCACATAAAATGCACTGATGTTCATCTGAAGACAGCGTGCTTCGATGACAGATGATGAAGGAGAAAGTTCTAGATCAGAATACAGACTCCGCAAATCGTAACAAACTGAGAAAGAATCAAGTTTCTTTTAAAAAAAAACTGTGTTTTGTGTTAATCTAATTCATTTGTTCGCAGATGGTAAACTTGAAATTTTTACAGTGTAAATGTGTTTGAAATTTTTTGACTTGGTTTACTTGAGAACTACTGCTAAAATATTGGCAAATATGTTTCGATATGTTCTCTGTGTTGGATAATATCATCAGTTTTCGTGAAACGTCTCAGGTGATTTTTGGTGCATCTGAATCAGGGTGATTCATTTGTTTTTTCTTATTTCTCAAATAATACTTTATGCAGTCTCCTATTTACCTCCCTGAGGCCGTAATAAGGAAGAGGTGCTCGTGAGAGTTTTACAACGGGCGCTACCGGCAAGGCTGTGCAATGTTAAATGCTCTGTACATCATTTCACTATTCTCTTTGACATTTCTGAGAATAAGAATGAAGGGTAAATTTTAACTGGCTATAACGACGCGTCAAACATATACACTAGACAATACTTTATTTCCTCGCTTATTACATTAAAAGGCCGAAAAGGAATTCTATGCTACTAATATCAGGCAGCGGGGCTACATTGAGTTGAGTGGTTGTTCGCTAGAAGGGTGCTGTCTGTGAGCTGGCCCTCATTACCAGCGCTTCAGCACGAGTGTTCCTTCGCCCGCAGGAAAATATGACGCCTTGAACAACGCCTGCCCGCGAGATGTCTGCAGAGGTCTATCACTGATAATAATTAGTGCCAGACCCCGTCAAACATCTCCCTAGCACGTCTCAAACGATCCCGCGGGCGGATAACCGTGCGTTCAGCAGCCCTGATAATGAGGGCGTACCGGCAGGCTAAGAGGCGTGTTTTAAGAGCCAGGGATTTTCAAAAGATTTCCTTTCTTTTCGTTAATAAACAAAACAAACAAAAGAGAGAAAGACAAGATCACTGAAGGAAAAATGGTCATCAAATTCGAGAGCAAATAGATTCCTTGTTGCATGGCTCATGCCGGGTAAAGGATATTTCTTTTAACATACTACTACGTCAGAATTACCAGCACTCTGCAAATGTCTTGTCGGTGTTCACTGTGAAAGATGCAAGGGGATTCAAGCAGTGTGAACACAATACTACCTAAGATTTATATTTCCGCAAAAAAAAAAAAAGAACCAAACAAATACGCAAACAAATTTTAAAAATCTACACAAATTATACAGAAAAAAAATTACAGTTACTCTAACCATTGCTGATTGATGTGCAATCTGAAAATCATTACATTAAGCGAACAATTTTAAGCTCCTGATTTCCAGGGAAATATTACTTCAACTATTCGCATTAGAGTTTCCCTTGTCACAGTTTCAGCTTTTACCAAATCATACAGCGTTTACTGGAGACACATTTGTACAAAATATCTTAGTCCGGGCAATTAACACTAAGAGACCAAACTAAATAAAACCAGAGCAGAACTGCGCGCGGTTACAAGACTATTACATGCTACACTGAGAATTACTTCAGTTTGGAACACAAAGCGATGAGTTTAAAGTTCTATTCAGTGCATTCTTCACGCATTTCTTTCAATTTTTCAATTTTTTTTCTATTTTTTATACTTCAATTTTTCTTGCTAGCGTCTTATTTTCGGGAGAGATTCACTCTGAATGCACTTCTCTGCACAACTTAGGCTTCCATCAAAACATGGATGTAGCCTGGTTACTCGGGTTCTGAGTCTGTTCCTTCTTCGTCAGCGGTTTCCAGCCAAGTCAGCCACGAATTAACCTGAAATGAAAACACATTTTTGTCAGCCTGAACCAAACGCACCATGACAAGTAATTAACAGCACTGATCGTTACCTGAAAGAGAGCTTTTCCTTTGCCGGGATGCTTTTCACTCACATCTTCTTTCCACCTCAAAAACGCGTCCTCCTCCACAACTTCTGTATCGTACAACAACACAAACATGCGCAGCAACATACCTACAAAACAAGTATGGCTGTCTGTAAGAAAGGATATGTGCGCTTCAAATTCCTTGTCAAGTTACTGATACAACCTCCGAGGTATTTCCAACCACGGACTTTCTTTCCGAAATTATTACTATATCTTTTCGATTACAAATAGGGTTATGAAAATTTCACTGCATCGGAAATAGCTGATCAGTGAGAGCCACTCACACAGTGCCGTGAAAATACCTAAAGGAACTCCAATTTTTACGAACCAAACACTGAAATCCTAGGCATTACCGACACATTCACCTCCGGACCAATCATGATAAATCTACAAAATCTACAGAATTCCAACCTTAGAATTGCCATGAATAAAGAAGGTAAGTTTCTAAAGAAACTGTCGTGCTGCGTCGGTGGGAAAGTGCAACAGAGTAATTTAGTATTATCAACTGAGTTGATAGTGTAAATTGGCCACCGCATAGAGTTTAGCTTTTAAACACTTTAAGGTGGCCAATTTACGTTGTCAACTCAATTGATAGTACTAAAGTACCCTGATAGAATCTACTCCATCAAGTAGTGTGATTGTGCTAAAAATTCTCGCTTCCTTCTCTGCCAATAAGATATTAACATAAAACCATTAAACCTTGAGTTTTTCATGGCTTCTAGTAAGATCTACCTCTACTCCAATAGACAGTCGTAAATACTTTGGTTTTGAATTTACTAGAGTATTCCAAAATTTTCTCTAATGGTAAGAGAGTTTTAAGACGTACAAAAGAGACACTCTAGCTTGGAAAATTTCATTATTGACCATACCTTTTGGAAAACTGTGGTTGTGACAAAATACTTGCAGTGCATACAATACGCTGACCTGGAAGAGAAAAAGATAGGAGACTTAAAAAAAAAGAAAAAATAAACCCTAAAAATAAATGTACGTGCGGCAGACTAATTTGAATACAAATCGGTACAAAATTAAATTTTCTATGTTTTCGGATATATTTACAAGTGCATCTGGAACTGGTTCTGAAACACAGGAAGGCAAAAAATAATGAACCATAAAAGAAAGATCCATAAAATTCTCTTCTCTTGAGAGGAGCTCAAAGAATCCTAGGATAAAACGAAAAATGTATATTCATTTCTCCAAAATGATCCGGGTTGAAAGGTAGATACTGGGGGAAATCAGTGAAAAGTTTGAAGAGATTGAACAAACAAGTTTTACAAACTCACTTGCAATTCGCTTTTCTCGTGAACAAACTTCTCCACCAAAGGAAGTAATTTCTTCATGGCCGCCTTCTCTTTCTCCATCCAGTCCTTTTCTGGGGCCTGTGTAGGGTCCAGGCCCTCACTTAGGGTACTGTCCTTAGTGGCGTATTTTAACAAACTATGAACAGATTATACAGTTCAGTTTAAATTGTATATCACATGAAAACAATTTATACATCACTCTTTTTACCATTAGTCCAGTACACTTGTAAGCACTAACGAAGCCAAATTTCAAAAAAGTTTACAAAGAATCAGGGTCAGGCAAGACTATCATAAGGTTTTCATAAAACAAGAATTTGTCTTGAAAGGATTTTCACTTACCAAGTGGCAAGCACATTAATAAATTCCGGATTGGTGTGCCACGACGACTCGACGTTATCCTGCAAAAAAAGTTGCAGATTAAAAAGGCAGATTCCCTCCATCATCTGAGCAAAAATTTTTTCAGCCAGAAAGGATAATTTGTATGTTGGCTTCTCTTTTGTAAGTGTACCTTGACCCATTTGTAGATAGCAGTGACGGTGGGATCTTCTTCGATTTTGGAATAAAGATCAGCTTGGATGTGAAGGAGCGGGAAAAGGAATACCAGACTCTGTGGAGAAAGAACAATCATCACTGATTTGCCAGATACCCATTAAATGCTGGTAAGCGCTAAAAGAGGATGGAAAGCTAAACTTGATTTGGATTTTTCCCGTCTAACCACATCCACCCCCCCAGAAGTGATTAACATGTAACTTCTCCCTATAATATCCATACATTATCCAGCAAACAGGTAATGAGAATACTCAAACTAATCAGGAAGGAGTTTTTGTCGAGATCTAACACCAAACACTCCTAACTAAGATACAAGGAAATTGAGTAGTAGCTGGAGAAGAACAATAACACTGAGATATTGGGAATTTAAGGGTTTAAGATGAAGGTTTTGTCGCGTGTTACCTAATGGAAGGCAAAACTGAAGCTAACAAATTATAAACAAACTGACAGACAACCAGTTACTCAGAATAAAACATAAACGCTTGTTTACCAACCATAACTGGGCTTAATCTACCTAACACTGAGAAGAAAGGCAGTGTGAAGGCAAGGGAATTCACCCCAAATAAGTAACACAGGGATCCCAATCATGCCTAGGATCTGCTGGAGTCAGTATGTAAAGTCATTTGGTGTTCAATTGCTCATTCTCCCAACATAATTTTTTTATCATTACCCACATTCACAAACCTGTTTTTCCAGAATGGACATGAAATTCTCACTTGCTCTTTCTCCCTCTGCAAACGAAGAAAAATCCAAAAAGGTAGGTTATACAGCCATAATCTCCATATGTTCCATTTGGATCCACTGATAAAGTAACAAGAGTCTTGGGCATGCAAAGTTTTTCTGTATGTGGCTTCACCTCATTTTCCAAATGAAAACAAAATTGAGAAAATAGGACAAATGTTTTGACAGAGTTTTAAACATTTCATTGATTAAAAATTGTTGTCGTTCCTTTATGGATTAAACTGATAACTTGTGTCCATAACCAAGCCACTTGTTTCTTGGCTACATTCAATTCAAATAATAAATGTTATCTAAAAGGCAATAAAAATTTTCTGTTGTTGACAAACCTGGTAATGAAGGCAACAGATCTAATTTGCTGTCAGTGAATTCTTTTACTAGCCACTCCTGAAGAATAATGTAAAGATTTACTTAGAATAAAGAAAGCAGAACGAACATGCAAAGGGAGAAGCACACAGAAATTGGCCAAAATAATTTCCTTTAGAAAAAGGATAGTTATAACATACCGGTCCTTTCAAGGCCTCTAGTTCCTTTAGACACAACAGGAGAGTTGGGTGGAAATTCCCATTTTCTGTCAGGGAGCTCACCTCGATTAAATTCAAAATTCCCTGTCGGAAATCAAGTAAAGGTTTTAAAATGTTTTATGCACTGTCCTAGAGAGATGCTGAGCAGCTAAAAGGATTTTTAGTCAGTGATCTGTCACATGAGGAGTGATAGGGTGGAAGAGTTTTACCTCTTCAGTATGTTCCCTACTCCTGAAAAGAGGCTGTGGTTAAAAAAAGATTACTGAAGTTGATTAAGAGTTGACCAAAGCTGTTGAATAACTGATTTCTGCTCTAAAAAAAT